AAAACATCTTTTTTTCCTTTTTTTTTTGCAAAATTGTTTCTTTTTTTATTTTCAAAAAAGCAACAGGTTACACAGTTAACTTTCAGCAAATGCAATCCTAAACTGAACCGGTACTCACATTCGGGACTTGGAAAAAAAAATGAAAGACTCACATACTGAACACACAATCTATCTATAATATACAAAAAGGGATACATAATAAATATTAAAATGGCCACAAGAGATAAAAGTAAGTCATGGAAAACAATCAGTAAAGAGCAAATGTGGGGAAAGTAGAAACAAGACGGTGTGCCTTAAATGTCCTTTTTCCTTTTTTTTTTTCTTCCTTTTTTTCTTCTTTTTCCTTTTACATTTTTTACAAATTGTGCAAGTTTTCATACTAAGGCTCTGGTCTTGAAGTGACTGTTGTCTGATCCACGTGCGCTCTGAAATGCGCGCGCACCAGCATGCACACACACACGCACCCTCAAACACACACACTCACTCACTCACACACACACACTCCCTGTGCTCTGAGCACTCTGTGGGGTGTTTCAAACCACTGCAGGGTAAAAGTGGACTGCTCTGTGTCTGTACTGTACTGTACTGTACTGGACTGTACGGCCTGTGACGCCCATGAGCTACTGTACTGGACTGTACTGTACGGCCTGTGACGCCCATGGGCTGACCAGTTGTTCAAAAAAAAAAAAAAGAAATATGACATGCACTTCACGTTAAGGTGAAGACGAATAAATGAAAAAAAAAAATCTTTGCGTCCAGTGGAAACCGACTTTGGAGTGAGCAGATGGGGAGGGGGTAAAAAAACCAGCCGTAAGTTCAGAGACAGTGGAACCATTAAGGCAAGAACACCCGGAGTGGCATCAGCAGTACTGTAACAACATGGATATGATGAAACATTTATTTCTGTGTGTCTTCAGAGTCTTTTCTTAAGCACAAGGTTCTTATTAAAAGCAGACTTTAAAAAAACAAAAGAACAAACCCAAACATCACGTCATCGTTTTTTTAACCCTTTTTTTCTGTGAAAAGGTGATAAGAAAATAACGATGCCTGACACGAGGGACGTATGGATCGTAAAACTACAAGAGCGAAATTCTAGTTTTTAAGTTGCAACCTCAAAACCACACNNNTGGTAAATGAAAAAGATCATCACTTACATTAAAACCATTTATCCTCATCGGGATGGTTGTATTCCAACAGTCACCGAGTTTTGCTCTACTTACAGCGATTGTGAAGTCTGTTGCAAATTAAAGCATTCATTGTTATTCTGGGGAGGAAAAAAAAAGAAGAAGAAAAAACAAAAAAAGACAAGAATCGTCCAAGTGGCAACGGTTGATCCCCCCAAAAAACAACAACAACAAAAAAAAGCATCTTTACATCTTCTTTTTAGTGCAACTCTTAAAATGTAAAACATTTTCAGTGATTCCTTGAGAGGTATTGTTTCTTTGTTTTTGTTCTTTTCTCCGTAACTATTCATGTTAAATGTATTTCACACCCTCACAGAACGACGCGTCTCCCACGTATCCACAGGAAAAAAGTTGTCACTTTTCTGTTGAAATCTTATTTTTTTTTACTTTATCATCTTCGTCTTCTTCTTCCTTTTTTTTTTAACAACTTTTTGCTTCTCTGCATTGGCATGGCCTTCCACAGTTGTCTGTTTACTACAACATAAACACAGGAGGGGGGGCCAGGCCCTCTGCACATCCCCATTCCCTTCAGCCTCCATGTTGAACACACGTCATATTCAAGCATCCTCGAAAGAGCCTTGAGATCGGCAGCCCACCTCTCACCTCTGAGAAGAGGCTCAGGTGACGGAGGAGCAGGAGGAAAACTGGAGGATGAGGAATAAAGACGGGGGAAAACAGACAGAGGTTAGGGGGCGCTGTACAGTGGGAAACGAACCCAGATCAAGATCAATCAGGGACATAGAGATATAGATGAGGAAAAAGCCACCAAAAAACAGAAAGAAAAACCTTCATATAACGCAGTAGGGTTCCCTTGGTAACCTGGACTTTCTGCAGTAGAGGAGCGTGGTGCTGAAGCAGCGCCGAAGCTCCCTGTTGGAGAAGATGCAGATGAACGGGTTGACCCCAGCCTGGGCAAAGCTCATCCAAACCGCCGCCGTCAGGTAGCCTCCCGGGACAACGGGGCCCCTTGCAAACACCCGCCAGTAGCAGGCGACCAGATAGGGGCCCCAGAGCGCCAGGAAGAAAAACGTCATGATGTAGAACATCCTACTAATCCTCTTCTCTGTTTTGAACTCATCCAGCACCAGCAGACGCCTGCGGCCGGCCGCGTTGCTGTTCTGCCGGATGCCCAGCAGAGTCGGCGGGGTGGGGCCGCGGCCAAATCCGGCCAGCCAGTTGGCCGCGGCTTGCCCGCTGGCGCCCGGCCCGTGGAAGGGCCAGTTCTGGCTGACGGCCGGGGCGGAATTGGCCGGGCTCCACTTT